ACGCACAAGCTGACGTTCCGGCGGATTTCGCCTTCCTCAGAGCCTGGAAAGGTCAACTTGACAGCAATCCATTCGGCCAAACACCTTCATAACCAAACAGAGAAAACGCTAAACCAAGATTTCAACCACACTTAGCATAGCTCTGCACACTCACCGCTTTCTATGAGTCTTCCACTGAGTATGTCGCGTGAAGACCGACCGCACAGAATTCACATGGAAGCGTTATATGCGCCTCCCATCAGAATAACAGGTTTATATAGTGTCCAACGTCACGCGTGATAATGAGGCATTCCTCCCTGCGGTTCATTTTCGGATTCTTGGAATTAATCCAGAATGCCTCTAGAGTTTTGCGCGCTTGTGTTCTCGATTCTTGCGCTAGAATCGTAACCCTTACTTCAAAATCTTCTCGGTTATGTTTCTGCGTGCTATGCGTACCTAGTGGAGTACTTAGCTTACGTTTGCCGACTAGATGTTCTTTTATACGTACGCAGAGTGGTCTACCCGTTTCGCCAACGTATTCGTCCCCGCACGCTTTACAAGAGATCAGATAGACTGTACCCGAACTCATGCAGTCACCGTCTCTACCATTGTGGCAAATTATGCAATTTTGCGTTGCACATAGACGGTCGTATTGGCGGTTACGAACTAGCTGGCGCCTTAGATTATTCGGTGGTATTTCGATTATCGTTACCAAATTCTCTAGACTGGCCCTTCTTAAACAGCGTTTTATAGCTGCACTTACTTCATTTGAAATGAAGGGCAGTATAAACCGGACCTTGTTGTCGTTAGAGTTATCGTTGGGGTACTTGTGGTTTCCTCTGCANATGTTTCTGCGTGCTATGCGTACCTAGTGGAGTACTTAGCTTACGTTTGCCGACTAGATGTTCTTTTATACGTACGCAGAGTGGTCTACCCGTTTCGCCAACGTATTCGTCCCCGCACGCTTTACAAGAGATCAGATAGACTGTACCCGAACTCATGCAGTCACCGTCTCTACCATTGTGGCAAATTATGCAATTTTGCGTTGCACATAGACGGTCGTATTGGCGGTTACGAACTAGCTGGCGCCTTAGATTATTCGGTGGTATTTCGATTATCGTTACCAAATTCTCTAGACTGGCCCTTCTTAAACAGCGTTTTATAGCTGCACTTACTTCATTTGAAATGAAGGGCAGTATAAACCGGACCTTGTTGTCGTTAGAGTTATCGTTGGGGTACTTGTGGTTTCCTCTGCACCTATCTCGAGCTACGGTTTCGTAGCCATTAAAATGGCTATTTGCCGCGCCAAGTTCCGGGACTCCTCTCTCTGTTGTCTCCCTGTACACACGCTGGTAGCTGTTCGATACGTGTTTCTCACAAGCGCCCTTTTCGTGTGTGAGGGATGAGAGGAGAGGTAATGAACTAGGATGTTTTCACTACTTGGCTTTCGATACCACTTCGTAATGCAGCCGTTTTCTGATAGGCTAATTTGCACGTTCAGAAATGGAAGCCAGTCTTCTTTTGGTTTCTCTCGGGTGAATTTAATATACTCTGACTGTGTGTTCAATAACTCGAAACATCTGTCGATTTCTTCTTGCGTTAAACAAATGACCAAGCAGTCATCTATATATCTACAGTAGAGTAACGGACCGAGGTCGATTACTGGCGCTTCCACCTTAGACAAGAATGCAATGGCAAGGCTTGGTGCCAGTCGTTGTCCCATTGCCAGCCCTCTCATTTGTGCGTAATACCACCCGGACCATCTGAAGATTGAGCAGTTCAGGCACTCCTTTAAGAGTGTCATCAACTGCTGAATCGAGAAGCCGTACATGTTTATTGCTCCTTCGTGTCGTATAAGGAGCTCGTTTATCGCTTGCATAGCGGAGTCATTCGACACGTTCGTGTAGAGGGCAGTGACGTCGAAGGACTCCACCACTTACGCGCTGTTGGGTCGCCCGTTACGTAGACGATCCAGGAACATTTGGGTGTTCGTTAGAATGTCATAATTATGTCCGGGGAAAACTATGATGGGTTCTCACAGAATCTACTGTGCTGTTATAATGTTCATCCAAACTGAGCCAGGTATCCATGCATGAGATCGTTCTTCAGTACATTTTATCCCGCAAATTATTTATCATTTGTATGCCCTGCGAAACAACGTGAAGTGGATAATTATTAAGCCTTGAAATTAGGCTCAAGCTTCCCACAAAACTACGGGCTCACTGATCCTTTGGAACACCCAGAAAGATTGTTACTCGCACAACCAAGTGAATTTTTTCATTTCTCTTTCTCTGTTGTTTTGACGACGAGTTGTCAATGAATTCAGACAGCCGTAGGCAACTTCCACCACGGTAATCCTAACGATCTACAAAAATGGTTCTATCCACCTCAATTCTACAATTATTAGCAATTTTCCGCTTAGCTCGTTTCATGATTTCTCCAGTAATCTCCTTTTTTATGTTCATCACATGCGACAGATCGCTTAAAATCATCAACGTTAACGACTTGTATAGCATCACTAATCCTTCTACGCTTTTTGAAATTTCCATGCGTCCGTCTCAAACTTCCGATTTGTTAAAAAGCGTTAGCCAGTTGGTACTGGAACCGTGTCATGAACGAGAATTGGGGGCATTCCTGTGATTTCAAAAGCTGCACTTCCCCAAAATGATATCCATCCTAGTAGTTTTCTTCTTCCCTGCCAGTTTTCGCCTTACCTATATGTTATTTAAACCGTCCGGGGTCGAATGGGCTCGTAGTTTTCATAGTGCTGCCTATGAGTTTCTTTTTGTGGTAGTCATTTCCGTCTAGACCTTCGCGCCATGGTAAATATGAATATATATATGAACTGGGTATTCGCCCTATTTCTGTGCAGCCCAATTTTTTTCCCGCTTTGTTGAATTCACTGAGCAATCAGGTACACCTAGAAAGAATAACAACGTTGTCAAACGCTTTTTCGTTGACGAATATCGCTTGCATGTGGCCCATGCGGCAGAATCTTCGTCGGAATCCTGCTTGTTTAACTGGGTGTTCCTCGTAAAAGATCCCCGATATGCGCAAAAGGGTGATATTCGAAAATAGATTGCAGAGTACGCTTAGCAAGTATATTTGACGGTAGTTGTCAAGATTCCTTCGGTCACTCTTCTTGGGTAGGTTGACGTGAACACGCAGACCAGTACCACATTCAACAGCACGGTGAGTAACCTTTCTGACAAATATGGCGTTTATTTGAAAGTTCGATCTTCATTAATACTACAAATATTTCGCCGAATATAGGACTACTGTTACATAAAATACGCCTAGGTTCTGAGGAAGGCGAAGTCGCCGCAGCGTCAGCCATCGACCAACCACACAAACAGCAACGACAACGACAACAACAACAACAACGACTACGAAGACCTATACCAACCTCGCATCAGCTCAAGAAGATCAGTTTATAAGATCGTATAAACAAACATGCTAACCACTTATGCCGAGGTTTATAGAAAGTCGGTTGTTTAAGTTGATATCTACGATTATTACGAAAGCTTTCTGCATTTTATTAGCACAAGGTGTTTATAGTTTTTGCGGGTTTTCTAACGATTGAAATCGCCTATACTTCATAGTATTAGGAGATGCTTATAATGTAGGAATTTGGGAGACGAAATAATGTCTTTTAGATTTTCTTCTGCTGGTAACTAGCAAGATTTCTCTGTCCAAAACTGTTCTATACCAAAGCAAGTTTCGAATTTGTTTTATAACTACAAAGGCCTTTCGGTCTAATTTTTGAAGTGTTCCTAGTTTCTTTTCTTCTGATGAGACTCTGCAGAAATTCACTTTCTATAATAGTTTCGTTCGAAAGTCGCACAGATGTGAATACTGGTACGAATTTTCTCAAGATAAATCTTTTTTGGATTGAATGACTGTGACAATATGAGAAAGTTTAGCATTCAAATAATGCTTGTCACTGAGTGTTCAATGCATAAATGAGCGTTTTGGAACGTTGTATTTATTACGCAAACCCATACTTTATGCGGATCGTATAGAAGTAACATAGTAAACTCGAAACTTTTCGTTGTTTTCAGTGAAGGTTAATGCAGATCTCGGCATGAGAGTGGTCAACTTGATCGACGGTATGAGGTGGGTTACAACGCATGGTCAGTGAAGGGCCGCAACTCCCTCATTTCGTCCTGGTCTGGATTGGATTCAATCCGTATAGGTAGTAAGAAGGAACGTCGCATGTGGCTGTGATTCAGTCGTTCCTGTCGTCTCACACTTAATAGAAGCGTGTGCTACAAAACATAATACACAAGATATTTGGTGGTTTATGCAAAATCAAGGGAAAGATCCATCAGCTCTCAGCCGACGAATCACAATATATTACGAACGAAATGGTTCTTTTATGTAGGAGAATACCTGAAAAGGTACTAGTGTAGCCCTTATCTTACTTGGAAAGTTAAAGGAAGTGCACTGGTTGGAGGGGTATAGTTTAGCGTAAACTTTACAATACGACTAAGTTGAATGATTTTAAAACTACCAGATGGTAGCGGCTACTGCAGGACATCACTTAGAGAACACACCTTCACCTCATAATTTTACAAATCCTCAATTTCTGCGTTGCTCAATAAAAATACTGGTAATCATCGGCCAGTGAGAAAGCGAGAATCTATACGCAGCACAGTTAATCGTTGGTGTTCGAGGTGATTTTCTCTTTACCATGTGCACTTCCAACTGCTGATGAGAAACCCAAAAAACACATTGGGAGCGTTAAGATAGTTAGAGTCAATGTCTTTGCTTCACACGGCCAGTAGTAATTTCAATAAAATCTGGTCCATCACCATTTCATACTTCCACTTACGGTTTCAGATCTTAGACGAGATTAGTTGTTTTGATAAAAATATTTTTAAATATTCAATCTTGTGGGAGGAAATCGCTCAACTTTCGTTAAAACGGTGCCGTCAAAAGGCAAAAATCTGTGAGCCACTTCAGCTATACTCGTCTAAGGGTTATTTCAGTTGCAGCATCACTTCAGCGCTCCCTGCAACTCAGACGTTCATTTTAACTGTTTCCACTCCTACAATCTTCGAATGAAGGAACATTTCGGAAGATTTTCCCATACATCTTCGCATTTCTCTGAATTAAAGTGACAAAATAGAAGGATCAAAACTGCTTCCATTTTTAATATTTATTAAACAATTTCGACCAAACAAACAACGCTGTTCCCCTCACTCTTCATTAGTCACTTCGCACTCTTCGCCGACAGCTGTAGTGAGAAGAAATTATTCACGTAATAATTGAAAACTATGGAAATTCATAACGGCAGCCTCATTTACAGGCATTTAACAGAGCATATGAGGGAACTAGCACGTTTAATGGCTATGACGACGTCATTAAAGGATTTCAAGACAGCATGCTTTAATCATACACCTAGCGCTAACTGTTGCGAAGCTCAACTACATTTGATGTGTATTGATTGAGGAAGTGCGATTAGCTTTAAGTGCTTACAATCATAATAGAGCCATTGTAATCATGAAATGTGGTCATTGCTTATACTTTGTTACACGGTATAGAAACAGATGAGCACCCAGCATGAAAAAATCACTAATGCTACTTTACGCTCCAGACTTTTGTCCGCCGTCATGGGCAATGGCTCTTTTCAGTTATTTTGTGTCTTCCAAGAAACAATTCAAGAAGAATAAAATGCGATATGCTTGACGACATAGTGGAATTTACATGCAGAAATTGTTTCAGGAAAGCTATCTAATTCAGTTCCAAAGCTACATAATCTCAAGAGTTTGCGAAAGATTTGAGTAAGTGAAAGCTCCGAGTGGTAACTAACCTGTCGCTATGTGTGTTATCGTGATCGTCTGCGATCTCATTACTTGTACTTTCTTCTTCGGCATACACCATAAGTCGTCCCTGAAATCAAAATAGTTATCCACAAATTTTACTACCAGTTTGCGTATTTTAATATTTTCAAGGGTTGTTGTTGCTTAGATGAATGAACTCAGCTATCAGCGCTTTTTGAGATAATTCGACTGACCATTTTCGCAGTGGACGGAGGCGCCCTGCAACACACACGTGGAATCGATCCTAGCGCCCGTGGCCCACCAAACCTTCCATTCCTCTGGGGTCGGCAAATTAGTACCAGACTTGTCTAGGAGGATAGCAGTACTGATTAGATGCATTGGTAGGCCACCGCGAGTCAGTATAGAGGCCAGATATGCATTCAAGTACCTCCAAACGATGCTTGATGAGGTCGTATGCATGGCGCATCCCTCAGGGATTGATCAACGCCGAGAGCTTTATCCTTTATCCTTTAATCATTTTCGCTTAAGTAGATGTGCCAAAGCTGAACTTATGCTGTTTTAAAGTTATGTGCAGTTCTTTCCAGTCGTTGCCGGTTGTCTAATCTTTTTTTTTTCTTTACGTAAAAGTGATTTCCTCTTTTTTGGAGTTCCAAGGCAGTCAAAAGAAATTTTCATTTGTTAAGCAGTAAGAGGGCTTCCGCATGGATAAAGAACAATACAGATAAAAACCAGTTACCTCTTGCAATACAAACCTTTACCCATGTGAAATTAATGAAATCCTTCTATTGCTTCACAATAATTCTTTAAGACGTTTTACTTCCGAGCTTACCTTTTCACCTTTCAAAAAACCTTCAATCGCCTTTTGAGTGCTGGTGTCTTCGTCGTTCTTTTCTATCATAGTCGCTGCAAGGGCAATTGTGTCCAAAAACTCAAACAATCTGAAGAAGAACAGCCTCATAACGATCGTCGAGTAATCCCACATAACAACAATGTATCTCTGGCTTACCTCAAATACGCAATGGTCGACGGTGTTGTGAACGGATGACAACGATTGCCATCGTAAACACCTTCTATTGGCTGAAATCCAAAATAATCAAGAACTTAACAATGAAATGACATGCAAAATGTCTAAGTTCTTTTCGAATTTGCGTTCCGAACACTTCATTTTTTTCCCTTCGCAGTAAAACTGCGGATTTTTGAATAACATTTAGTCAAAGAGATTTTCTTCCCGTGGGATTTTCGTGCACATGAGTGATGTAATTTACTCCTGCTCATGATAGGTCTATTCTCTTGTAGTACAGCTTACGGCATGTCCTTAAATTGTTGTGACGTACTTTGTACGACTTAAACTTGGTCGATCCGAAGCGAGTGGCCGCAAAATTGTGTGCAGGGTAGATTTTTTCGCAGCGCTGCACCTATAATTAGGAAAGGCTCTAAAGAAAACTTCACAACCACAGCACTTTATAACAAACGCTTTAAAATAATGGAGCTCTTTTCTTTATTTTGGAAATCGCTATCAAATATAATAATTTTCATAATAGGCATATTGCTGCTGCATAAAAAAGGAGTTTGAATCCGTTGGAAAACAAGGTGATTTCTGACGAGTATTTACTAGTGGAGCGTGCACCATAGGAGTATTGATTAATGTTGCGACCACACCCCATCAAAACAAATAGTAATATGATTCTTTAAGAATTTAGTGTTCCGAAACACCTAGCACAACTTTTCCAAAATTTTTGTTTACAAAGATGAACCGCATTCTCAGAACGTATTTGCTGCGGTCCGTGTATGCTGTACGTCAACCAATAAGCTAAGAATCTAAGCAAATATTTGGCGGGATATCGTTATGACATGACATCAGTACTAGTGAATAAAGCAGTAATTTGAACAACTGCAGAGATTTTGAGCATCTTTTTCGTCTTTTTGACTTCATTTTTGCCATAGATCAGTTACAGTAGTTAGTTGGCGGGATTGCAGTCTCGCTATCGTTACGGATCGAGTCGTTAAATGGCATATTACGTCAACGAATAGTGGAAATATACTGTAGTGGACGAGCTGCGTTATCTAATCATCTCATCTACTCGTCATCATTGGATTTTGTTGGATAGGAACGAAATGGAATAAGTGGAACTGTTCCACTCGTAACAGCACGGCTCTGAGGAAGGCGTAAATCGCCCAAACATCGACCAAAAATGCCAACGGGAACGACAACAACGATAAGGACAACGAAGAACTACGCCAACTTCGCATCGGCTCAAAAAGATCAGTTTATAAGATCGCATAAATGAATATATCAACTATTTATGCCGAGGTTTATCGAAACGGAATAGTTCGATTAAAAACAATAAAGAAGTAAGAATGGTATGATTGAGTGAAATTTCGTCGCCGATTTTGTCGGTTTAATATTCTGAAAACATGATTTTATACTTCGATATTTTCTGTAGAAACAATCACTGAGATTTCCATCAACACTTTCTGCGTTCATTTCGTTATCTAACAGTCCCCTTCCATGGAAGTAGTCAGTGTTGTGCATGGGTTTGGCAGCGTACTGACGATCTGTTCATCTCACCTTATCATTGACGTGTTAAATGCTAGTTCATCGTGCTGTCCGAAATTTTAGATAGCCGTGCTGGTCCAGTCCTCGACATTCGTCAAAGTGCGCCGTTGTCCTTCTGTAATTCTAGACCGAAAAAAACAAACGGATGAGATTCAATTGAACTGCTGCTTTAAGATCAGGATTCTTCCAGGACTGCAAATTTCCATTATTCACCAACAGAACGGCGACCTGTCAAGTGCGATGCGCGTGGAAGAGTTTGGCAAAGTGAAATAGATTAAACAGAATAAAGGTAAAATTTGCGTTTAAAAAATCAGAGTTAAGCAAGGTTGACAAGAAAATGTTTTTCAGGCACGGTCTATAACATGGTAAGAAAGCAGGATAATTGCAGTCAGGTGCAAGATGGTTTTTGAGGTAAGAAACGAAAATTTGGAAAAAGCAACTAAATACAGCAAAAGTGGATAGTGTTAAAACTATAGGAAGCGAATTACAGAAATCATTAACTATTCTGCGTAACCAGGTGCTTGATATCACTGATAAGAAATCACCACCACTTTTTAGTAAATTTAACACTTGGTGACAAATAAGCATTTGATGTCGACCAATTCTTTAGAGACGATAATTGCATTCAACCGTATTCGGGACATCGTAAAGGTGACTGAATGCACATCTAACATAAAAAACGACTTTCAGGGGCTGTCGACTCATCAAAGCACTTTTTTTCATCATTTCAGAGAAATTCCGGTGCCGCCTAGAGGATTCCGAAGAAATGGTGGACTTCGTTCGCTCTATGCGAGAGATCGAAGAAACCATCATGTGTGCATAGTAGAGTGCCTCTAACAAGCGTGCTAGATATTTCCTTATTGCTTGATAAAGGGGCTCTAATCCTTTGAACTCCAAAGAGCCTCCGATACGGCAGCGTTGGATAGGACGAGCACGGAGAGGTCGCTAAAATCTCAAAGCTATTCCAAGCTGCTTAAATCGTAAAGGTGTCTGACTGTACCCGAATATCTGTGCCTACAATGCGTGCACACTTACATCTGAGTCCTCGATATACCACTTGATCATGCAGGCAAGAAGCAAGAGGCACGACGTCATCGGACTGGCCGAAACGAAAAGACGCCACCCCCGTCAATAACACCGGAGATGAACTGTTCCTCTGACCATGCAACAATAGAGGAGTCGGCAGCGTCAGCGTTCTGGTCAACACGAGTTTCGTCATGAACATCGATTCTTGGAAGAACTAACCACCCGAATCGGACGATTACGATTGAAGAGATGTGAATCAAGATTGGGTTTGAAAATCTTTGCTGCTAACGTTCCGACATCAAACCATGACGAGGAATAAAAGCGTTCCATATGGACTTGGAGAAGATCTACAGAAAAGACCATACATTCTTAAATGTCATTCAAGATTTTTCAAGATTTTAATGCTAACACAGAAGCCAAAAGAACGTCTGAAGTACGCCACATTGGGACAAGGGATTAGAATGGAACGAGCAGGGTGTGCGATTGTCTGGGTTTATCATGAAGACGGAGATCATTCATGGTAACGCGTAGTTTCGGAAGCTCCACTCTCAACGCTGTACGTGAGGGCCTTCCCATGGAGAGTAGTACGACGAAATAGACCACTTCATAGTAAATCGAAGGCTTTGCCTAACCGATGTCGCTGTTATCCTAACGTTCTGCACGAGATCAGACCATCGCCTCCTTCGCGCAAGATTTCTTTTCTCGCGGAAAGAGAAAAGACCGGTAAAATAAAAAAAAAAGCCCGAAAGCCACCACTGACTGAGATTTACTAAGTTCATTAGCCGGGTTTTGGGAAGATACTGTTCTCGATTACAACGACGAGGACTGCGGTCGGTTCACTCAACATCTTCACGTTAGCGCTATGAAAGCTGAGAGTTCGAAAGTCACCAAGAGATGTCTGTCTCCAGAAACACTGGAGCTGATACGCTAGCGTGGAATCGCACGAGCTGCAAACTAACGTCCGAACTTGCAAAACAATGCAGACAGATAATAAAAGAAAATCTTAAAGAAAAACGAGCAGCTATGGTCGAAAAACTAGAGCTGGGATAACCATTCGCAAAGCCCACTAAAGCATCACCAGTCATAAAACCAAGGCGATTGCATTCCGACGCCCATAAAAAGCAGCTACCGCTTTCGGAAAGGAAATGGAGCAGATCATTCACGATTCCTACTCAGATCTCTTCAGCAGTTACGTACTCTATATGACATACAGAAGGAATGTGCCGTCCCAGCGGTTCCATCGTGCATGCCAATTCGACGGCGAACAGTCGAAAAACACCAGGTCCAGAGAAGAAAAGATATGAACAGCTGAAGAGCCTTCCTTCCGTCATTATGAACACACTGGTTCTGCTCTTCATACGCTACTTGTCTGGAAGCAATGTTCTTGCTCAGCGGTTGTACAGCAAGGCCGTGCTGTTGTTCAAGAAAGGTGGCTTCCACAACGTCGCCCACTATCACCCAATTTGCATGCTGTCCGTCTTCTACAAACGTCCCACTCGTTTTATCCTAAACGGAATTGACAGAGCGCGAGACGAAAGAAAGCAATGTAAGCAACCAGAGTTTCGAAAAGGTACAGTGCGATGCCCTATATTCACACGATAACAAAACTCACTGAAGCTTCGCACTACTACAAGAGACCGCTTCGTCTCACTTTCGTCGACTGAAGGAGAGCTTTTGACTCGGCTCAGATAAAAGCAGTCTTGAAAGCCCTGGACAACCAGGGAATCTCTACACAGTATATAAAGATTCTTTGTAAGCTATATAACAGTTCCGTTACATAGACATCACCATTTCACAGCTTTATTAACATCGACGTCAAAAGAGGGGTTAAGTAAGGCCATACCATCTCGCCAAACCCATTCACCGCGACCCTCGAGAACCCCATGCGAACACTAGAATGGGTCGAGATTAGAGTGATAATACATGGTCGGCAACTACACTTTGTTGGCTTCGCTGATGACGTCGTGCTTATATCATCAAACATTACCCAGGCGGAACGAATGTTTGCCGAAGTTGATAAAGCCTATGGGAATCTTAACTCTTTTATTTACTGCCTTTTTTCTTCTTAATGGCAGGGTATGTTGTGAAATATAACTCGTATGAAGTGCTGAGATATTTGCAAAACTCCGGACCGCAGGTGTATGCAGTGGGGAACGAACACGCGCTGTTGTCCTTACCGGGGAGCAGCGGACTTCACCACTACACCATCCGGGTCTGGTGACCTATCAAGGGCATCGACGATGTAGTGAAAAAACAAAAAACACCCGACTTCGAGACCAGCTTTCCGAATCCACGATACTTCTTGCCTTAAGGTGTGCGTCAGAAACCTGGTCGCTGCGTAACCAGGTTAAAACACCGCTCAGCATTTTAAAGTGCTCAGTCGTAAAGACTATTCTAGGAGTGTCCCGTGACAACAAGTGAGGGAGGAAATCCGAAGCTCCGACGTGAATCAGCGGTAAAAAATCAAAGAAGCCTTTCAATACTCTAAGCGGTTGAAGATAAGGTGGGACGGAGAGATAATGCGCATGAACAAGAATTGATGGAGATGAGCTGTTAGTGAGTCCATTCTTTAGGATTTTAATCGTACTGCTGGAAGACGTACTGCTGAACCGATAATCAGAGTTCTTAGCGAAAACCTTATAAGAAGGGTATAATGCTCAGAGTGTCCCTAGAGCGTGCAGAACCCATTGGACTACTGTTGCACGCGACCAGGAAAAATTGGGGATTTACTGGCCGGCACTAGAGTCACTCGACGATCCAAAAAGCTCGATTGCCGATACTGCTGCTGATGATGACTGTACGGTTAACCTATTCAAAGTCATAGATAGACAATCTATATCGTAGACAGAAAAGAAAAGCTAAAAAACTAAAACTGATGGAAAAGCGCAACCTTTACTTTCGTCTAATAAATTGGGCCTTTAAAATCGACCAAGATTTTTACCTTGATATAATTGGAGGTTTAAAGCACATAGAAAAGTCTCTATCGTAAAATAAGAGAAACGCGCAATAAAAGCAAATGGATTTAAATACAATCTAATAGGACGACCTAAAAAGCTTTAAGGTATCACTGCTAAGTGTAAGAGGACGGACAATCACGAACTTTTTTAGAACACAGGTGTTGACTTGTGCCGTATACGTGAAAATAGACACTTTTTCGCTCATGAGTACCGTTAAAATAAATTCCAGACTTCTTTTTCACGCAATTTCACACCGACGTTGTGGAGCGAAACTTGATGTCCACCCAAGGTTTTCCAACATATTTAAGTTGTTTTCCATTTACTTTGTAGCTTCCTAAAAACTACCATTTGATGAAAAATTTCCAGCCCTTACAGTTATAACAAAACCGAAAGCTCAGGGGTAAGTTGAAGATCCGAGAAAAATGGAGAGTTATAGATTTCTTTGCAGATCGTTGTTGTTTAAAAAAAGAATCTATCGTAACAGCTCTCAGTGCTGATCCCGTTCGGCAATAATACTGAATTCGTACTAGAGGATATATAGTGCGCTTCATTTTTCACCAATGATGTTAACTTTTGGCCCACCTCAAAAATTGGCTTAGCGACCGCTTTTCCGTCACGCTGACTTCCGTTCGGAAGGACGAACTCTACACGAAAACTCGGCCGACGACTAGTAGTATCCACTGACCAGCTGACGACACAATGTTCATTGATACAGCTCATCTCTGACAACATCAAAAATTACTTCAATTTAGTGAGGATAAATACTGAAATCTTACTGAGCAACTCTGAACTGCTACTAGAAAGGAATTAATGAGAATATGTGAAAAGCTTTAACAGTTCGCACCGAAAAGTAACTAGCAAGCTTTACGATTCAGTCGCGATCTCGTCGGAGGGTTTGAGCAAGAGATGGCTAAGAAGCTCATTGAAGATTACAGCTGAACGGAGTAAATCTTACAACAGCAACTTTGTACGAAGAGATCGGCAGCACAGTGGCAGTGATGCCGCCCGTAATGACTACAGCGCTGGTTAGATACCACAGTATGCCAGCTAGGCCTCTCATTCCTTCGGTTTCGGAAGACTAGTACAGGAGTTCTCTTCTGCAATCTAAGGAAAACAGGTTTAGTTCGGTTATTTCAAGAATCCTGGAAGAATCGACTAGACCATCGATCGACGGTATTCGCAGCTATGACGAAAGTATCTTCAAGCCACAACGAAATCTATAGACAAAAAATTTGAAGACTATCAAGTGATGTTGGAGTAAACGGATCGGAAGCAAAAAGTGGTAGCATTCGCACAGCAGATATGAAGACGTGGTAATGTAAAGAAATACTTTGTTTGGTCGTATGATTATTGCTTGATTTGCACTCAACTTATTGATCTACAGAACACCTATCGGTCATCCCAATCGGTGAATTATGGCCGCTATACAAGGGTTTTTACTGGTTATTATAATATGGGTCTTGTCACCTTTGCTAGATTACCGTTAATAGATTTCCCGAAACGATGGCACTTAAGGCTTTGATTAGTATATTTCTATTTTGTTCTTTCTATGAATCACAAGCTCTCGCTCTTCTTCCCACGATGTTTAACCACCTTATCGCGGTTATCCTTTTTCTTTTCTTCCTCCTGAATATCAGACTACAACAGCAGCTTTATCCTTTCAGCTTTGCTGTTGCTCGAAGTGAAAAAGAGATCTGGTCAACTAGCTGAGAGACAGGCGACACGAACAACACGCATGGTGTGGTGGTGAACGCGTTAGCCCCAGAAAGGGTAACAGCGCGTTCTTTCCACACCGCAGGCTTTGCGGTTCGGAGTTTTCCAAATATCTCAGCAACATTGTGTTTGTATCACATATAATGCCCTGCCATGAGTAATTATAACAGGCAGTAAATAAAAAATTGACGTTGAAAGAGGTCATTGCTTGTTGTTTGTCTTTGTATCCAACGGAATTCTCCGTTAAGAGTAAACCTATGCTGCAATGGAGCCCGTTGAGCCCCTCATGGATAGGTTTCCGCGCAAAAAACTGGGACAATTGGCTTCATATTAAATGTCTAATGAATTTTGTGTCTCTGAAGCGAACGGAGCTCTTTGTACAGCTTTGGAGTACGATTGAGACAAGTGGGATTTACTGATGGCCACGCAAGTTACTAAAGGCTTGAGTGAACCACAGCTCATACAAGCGATTTCTACGTAGAGAAATTACAACTTTCTTCAGCTTCTCACTCAGAGTGTAAAACTAATAAGACAAATTAGTAATTAGCTATAATTTCATTTTTAAGGCATCTTTATCGGTCGATTTCCCAAATACATGTGGAATATCGCATGATTTCAATCGGAACTCGTTATCACCGGTATCATTAGTTAGATAAGCTTTCTTTTTGCCTTTTGCATGTGTATACCCATTTTGTTATGATTTCCCAGCTTTTTACACGTCCAATTGCCAATTCAAGTTGCTGGAATCGATATCAAAGTGAGGCGTCGCAGCTACTTTCCAATCCATCAATAACCATATAATTCACATTAACATTATTCTTCCTCTATCTTCTGCTACAGTTATTTACATGAACACAGAGACTATCTTCAGTTGTACTTACTTCATATGACAGTTACGTCTTCGATCTCATCGTGATGAATGACCAAGCAGCCAAAACTACGTACCGGTGAAGCAACACCGTTCTGGGTAGACGCACTTCACATGTCCGGTGTCGGTGTTCACTGCATGCACACTACCGTCATAGATTTCAATCAATAAATTAGCTGGCAGCAGTTCACCAAGCTCAGAATTCGAAATAAAAGCACAAGAGGCTGCCTGCAACATAAAGGCCCACAGTCCGATACTCGACTCTGCGAACGAAATCTATTCAAGGATAACATCCTGTTCTAATTAGCATTATTTATCAGCTCAGTGTAGCTAATTGAGCTGCGTTCTGTTTGCTAGAAAGCGTTTTACGGACCTCGTCGATGAGTTTTTCCACAACGTCCACTATGAGGCAATACGATTTGAGTGGTCTAGATCCAGTGTATATTCGATCGACGAGACCATTTGCCAACGTGTCGGCAAACAAATCAGTTCTACTGAAACATGCATCAAATCACGTCGCCGATTGAGCGAATACAAAGCGTAGACATTGAGAAGCTTCTCCTACCAATCAATAACCATACTAGATAGTGTAGTATTACCTTTTTGGTATCTTGCCATATAAGAACGAAGTAATGAAGCACACAGTTTCTTCAATTTCTAGGAACATCTGAAAAACGCGACGATGTTATAATATGAAGGACTGAATTTCGTATAGTTGCCACTTTCATTTTTTAAACAATGATGGCCAATATGGGACGGTTAGTCTTTGCAATCTTTACTATTCTTATAAAAATAAAAATGCTGTCATTGCCAAAGATAGCGGTACCCACCTTAAAGAATGGTTCTGGTCAACCGATCTCCTTGAAAAAAACTAGAAGAATGAAGCAGCATACTCCAGTGAGCCTCACACTACGTGGCTTATCAGGTCCTTATCACTTATCAACCTTATCACGACTATCAGAGAGTGACTAGAGAAGTCATTTTTCTGGTGTGGGAGGAGTTTGTTTTCTTTTTCAAATAATCCTGATTCGTAGTAGTAAATGTCATGACCAGGTCATAAAGCGAATTTTCGTAAACTTTTCGATCTGTCAATCTTTTTGAGCCGTTTTCGTGGATGGAAAACCTCCGTGTTTCCGCAGATTTTAGGTTCCAGAATTGCTCCCATTTGACATTTTTGTTTTATATGTTTTTGAAACTTAAAGCAGTGCTAACTTGACCCTTCAGTATCCAATATTGGTCCAGCGTTTTCAATTCCTGGTCATCTCAAAACATTTCTAGAGCATTTTTTTCATCTTTCTACTGCATTCGTAACAATATGTCGGTTTCAGCTTGTATAATTGTACTGAACCCTTTATTTTTCCTGTGTACAGATTCCCAAACTAGTAGGGAAGAGATGTGGTCCCGATGGGAGCTCAATATGCGGTTTGCCCTCTCTTATTAGCGCACATAGCTGGTCACATCCAAGTAGAATGGAAGGGTTTACCGCGGACTTGCTTTTGTTAACATCGATTTGGAGAACATTTTTCCGGATGAAGCCTATGTCTTCTGGTCAGATAAGCTGTTGTCGTAACGGCTTAGTGATGGCGCCGTGCGTAAACAGCAATAACGAAATTTGATGGCCATCCGCGTACCATGCTTGCAGTGGGAATTTTGTTGATGTCGGTTCTTGTACATTATGGGAACCGAATGTGTTTAGACGTGATATGATTTCTTCCGTCGTGGGTAATTGAAGTTCTTGACGAGTTTTTCGTCGGTGCAGGCTTTTGGTTCGCGATTAACCCGCCACCTAGGAACGCGTCACGTAGCCTCGCGTCTAACCGGCTCGAAATCCCTCATATGATAGAGATGCGTGATAAAATTTGTGTACGAAGTTTTATTTTCTAGTGCTACCTGCGTAGGATGTTATAGTGTGTGTGTGTGTGTGTGTGTGCAATAGTGATGCTTTGACATCTCATTCTATCACTCTACAAATCTCCATGTTCTGCGTCTGCTACTAGCCCTTTTTTGATGGAATAAGAAGTTAACGGTGTGCAACCACCCCACTTCCAATGTAAATCAACAATCAACCATACTTGGGCACACTGAGGGCATTTAGTGAGGTTTCCTGCTTGCGGCCGCTGTAGATTTCCATTTATTCAAAAAATCTGCTTAAGTGGCGAGAGGGTGAAAACAGTCGCACCTAGCGCCACATATTGCTTGTCTTCACCTATTGCTTTTCTTAATTACAACTTTCAACAACCTATCGCCTTCTTGAATTAGTAAAATACTTTCATCATGATTTGTGGATTCCATGATAACGCACTCGTAGCTTTCTTGTTCAACGCTATTGTACGACCCCTATTTTGCTGTACTATACAATCCATTGTCCTCTCCAAGGCCTGAGATTATCAGGAAGCCGTCCAGCACTATGTTCTGAGTTAAGATATTTTTGTATGGGACTAATTATTGGTGTACAGATCTCTTCCATCAACCAGCATATCGTAGAAAAGCTACATCGCTAAACTGCGCGTCAATTCTCCAACCACGGCGGAATCACTACTAGAATGCAATAAATTCTATAGGTTCACCTACCTCTTAAGCACATTTTGAATAACTTAAGTTAGTATCAGCGGTTTCAATGACATCGATAACTAAGTGGGTTATGGGCCAACATGTTGATAGATCAGGTACTGCTGCTAATTTCATCAGTTGAACTGCAGGAAGAAACAGACGGAACTATGAGCAATATTCTGGTCCTGGTAGTAAAATTATATGTAGGTCACTTTATGTTTTGACGATTTTTTTATTAGAATTGTTAGAACAATTAAGACGTGTTTCAGGAAATCTTTTCTCAATCACCGCAAGCGGTTCGTTATTGTTTTAACAACGCTCCAATTAGGAGCTTGGTGAAAGCCAAGATGAAGATGGATGTATTCCATCCAAAATATTAGGCCAGCAGCCACCTTCATGTTGTTTCAAAGGTTTCCAATGACTAGTTGTTCAGCCATTTCGGTTCAATACTTTCGGACTTGTAGCCGATGTAAAGAACATTATCTAACTGTGCAAAGTTTCGTCAAGTCGGGTGCCTACATTACTGCAGAAGTGTGTTTCCAACAACGATTCTAGATATCTTGCGTAATTTTTGCAAGAACTAAGCCAAGAACAATAGGCAAGAACTTAATGTTTTATATTGGTAGGAATTCCATGAGCTCGTGAAGACCCACATGTCTGAGAAAATTCCATGGAGAAATGCAAGTTGTATTGTCTTTGCTTTTCTGCCTTTCTGTCTTTTATTTGTGTTGAAAGATATTCAGGGGATAGAATATCATCCATCATATCATGCCCAATTCGTTGAGCGCTGCGTTTTCCTCCATCTGGACCTATACAGGGGAGCGAAGGTCTCGATACAGGTGCATAGTCACATGTATTTGGTGCATTCTCCCCAATAATTCTCTCCTTTCCAACGTTCAAGAGTCCTTTTAAATTCCTATTAATATCTGCTGCTCCTTATCGGTTGTTTCAGGTTACAAAATCTCTACGAATATGCTAATTTCACAGATTATGACGATTTATCACACTTTTCTTTCATGCCATGAAATTGAAACTGCCGTAGATGCTTTGAGTTCTGGTATTAAGTTTATCAACGCATTCCAAAACAGGATCTCATGGCTCATAGAATATTGGAAGGTCGCTTTGAATTTTCCACTGGTCGAGATCAGGGTCGTGAAGAACATAGAGAGAATTCTAGGATTTCATGGTGAGATCTTTGTTGTAATTTTAAATAGCTTATCAGTGCTGAGGTTATTCTATTCCCTAAGATATTCGTGCGTAGTTGCTCAATCGACAATTTCTGGCGAATCTTTAATGAATATTTGGTTTAGTGGTTCGAAAAATTCTCCCAGCAGGCAGAGTTAGAACCTTTCTTATTTTCCCTACTTTCGACAGAGATTTCCTCTATGCGGAAACGGCAGAACATTACTCATGATAATGATTACTAGCGATATTTGCTAAACGCACTTAATTGATTTTAAGGATATCAAAACCAGTGCTTGTATCGTCGGAAAGCGCTATCCTGCTGTACTTCTTGTTCACAATTCCAGGTGGTGAATGTTGTCTAATGCCCTTCCGTTGTTCGTTCTCTCTGACGGATTCACGTAGAAACAAACCTCCAAAGTAATTGAAATCGAGAAATTGATTCCCACTTTAGTCTTAAGACATGAAGTACTTGTCACAAGAAAGTCTGAAGCAACGGCCAAATTTGATCGCAAGCCGTTAAATAGTGTACGATACCACCCACATAGTGAAAGCGGTTTAAGAGAACTTACTCTTAATAAGCGAAGGCAGATACGAGGGAAGCTAAGGCAAGCTGCATAATGCTATTGCTCCTCATCTCGTGCGGTATAATGCGTAGTGACTAACTCACATTATCAATCTGAAATTCGATAATCTGCAGCTATATATCAGCAAATAAGTCTTTTAATGAAGAGTGAAGGTTAAATTGTTTGCAAGAAATGTATGGGCAAGAGTGGTCCAGCAAGGTTCTCGTAGCAAGACGTTGACAGTGCGTCACAAGAAGCAAAATAGTTGAAATTAAACCCGGTTGCACCCTTGATTCCAGTAGCCAACACTAAACCTGCATGGAATAAATAAAGCTTGTAAACCGGTTCGAAGCTGTTTCACAGATATTTCTCCTTCGGTTGTTTCAAAACATTGATAAACATAAATGCAACCGTAAAGCAGGAATTTATCCTTCATGTATATTTCACACACAATACATTTTTTCTTTTCGTAATATCCCGCTTTGTAAAAGAGTTAACAACTACGAAATGGCTAGAACTTTACTAAAGGGAACACAAGGTTCGTTCAACAGAAAAATCTGTGAGTTTAGTTGTTCTAATGAGTATTTCTCGATTTCAATTACTTTGGAAGTTTGTTTCTACGTGAATCCGTCAGAGAAAACGAACAGCAGCGTTCCGCCAACGTATTCATCCCCGCACGCGCTTTGCAAGAGATCAGATAAACTGTATCCAAATTCGTGCAATCACCGTCTCTATCATTGCGACAAATTATGCAATTTTGCGTTGCACACAAACGGTGGTCATACAACCAGTTACGAACGAGCATGCGTCTTAGAGTACTCGAGTAGTATTTCAACTATTCTTACTGAATTCTTTAGACTGGCTTTCCTTAAGCAGTCAGTTATAGCTGGACTTATTTCGTTTGCAATGATAGGCAGGATAGAAGAGACCTTATTATCACCATAGTTGTCATTTGGGAGTTGAGTTTTCCTCTACACTTATCTCGAGCTACGGTTTCGTAGCCATTAGTAATGGCTTAATAGAAATAGAAAGTCTGTCGTGGGAATCACTACACTTAAATGCTTCATCTATTTAATTGGTTAGAGTTAAATTTTGCAGCGTTTTGAAATTTTGATGGGTCTTGTTAGTAGTGATAGCATACAATTTTGGAAAATGTCCAAGGAAAATTGGTCTGTGCCAACGAGAAAAAAATTCGGACACCCGATGTAATACAACTCTGGTGAGATATAACTCGTATATAATGCTGAGATATTTGCAAAACTCCGGACCGCAGGTGTATGCGATGGAGAACGAACGCGCGCTATTGCCCTTTCCGGGGAGTAGCGCACTTCACCACCACACCATCCGGATCCTTCGCTTTGCCTGTCTC